GGCTAATATTTGTATTTTTAGTAGAGATGGGATTTCACCATGTTGACCAGACTGGTCTCGAACTCCTGACCTCAGGTGAGCCGCCATCCTCAGCCTCCTAAATTGCTGGGATTACAGGCGTGGGCCACACTGCGCTCCACCTATTAACACGTTTAATAACAAGATCTAGTGTGGGTCTAACAACTGAGGTAATAATGAAGTTATCATGAGCATAAATGAGATTTCAAGGTCTGCAGTAGGTGTTATGCAATATGGAAATATCTGTGATTTCTCATAGTGACAAAGTCACAGGTCACAGGTCCTGCTGAGCCTAGTGTGGTTTGTTTCCTGTAGTTATAGTAAAGAAAACGCTAGGTGTGGTAAGAGGTTAGTGCAAATAAAAATATGAAATATTTTTCTTAGCCAAGATCATAGACTCCTTGAATTCTATCCACAGATGCCTTGGGAGTCTGAGGAACCCCAGATTCAGCACCCCTGCTTAACCTGCTTTTATGAAGAAAAAAATGCAACTTGGTAAACTTCACTCAAAGGAGAGACCCACTAATACCTCCACCTACCTCACACCCAGTGAAGGTCTGGCTGTCCTTCTTTCTTCATCTGTTCAGGCTGCTGTAACAAAATGCTGTAAGTGGGTGACTTATAAACAACAGACATTTATTTCTCACAGTTCTGGAGGCTAGAATGTTTGAGATTAAGGTGCCAGCAGATTCAGTGTTTTGTCAGGGCACTGTTTCTCATAGATGGAGTTTTCTCACTGTGTCCTCAGACAGTGGAAGGGACAAACAGGTTCCCTTGGGCCTATTTCCTAAGGGCACTAATCCAAGAGCCCGCATGACCTAATGACCTCCCAAAAGGCCCCAGGTCCAAGTACCGTCATCTTGGGAACTAGGATTTGAATCATAAATTTTGGAGGACACAAGCACTCAGACCATAGCATGCTCTGAACTCCTAACTGAGACTTGCAGTGAAGGTAGAGAAGAAGGACTGAGGCCAAAAAGCAGTGAGCATTTTTGGTTCCAAACCAAATTTGCCGTATTTCAGGTCTGGAGCCCAACAGAGAAAGATCCTGAGGGCTGCAAGACTTGCAGACCTCGCCTCCAGTGGGCAGCTGGAGTGAGGAAAAACAAGGCATGGGGTGAAAGGGATATAAACAAAGTATGGCCTTGGGGGTTAAAAAGTCTGTTTTCATGGGGTTCTTCTGAATATTCTTGGGCCAGTTATTTTAACCTGCTCAGCTTCAGTTTCCTCAACTGCAACGTAAGATTTACATAACTATACCCAAGGAAATCAGGGGTGTTGAGAAGAGTTTAAGTGAGATAATCAATGTGAACATGTTTGGCAAAGACTGAAGTAGTGCTATTCCAACTGTAATGTGCATGGAATCCCTTGGGGATCTTGCTCAAACAGGTTCTGCTTCAGTGATTCTGGGTTGGGCCCCAACATTCTGCATTTCTACCAAGCAGCATCCCAGGTGGTACCTAAGATGCTACTCTGAGGACCACGCTTCGAGTAGCAGGGTCTAAACTACTCTACAAATGTGCCTTATTATTATTGCCCTTTTTTTTTTTTTTT